CGAGGACCGCGAGAAGGGGATCACAGGCACCATCGCGGTCGTGGAGCTCGACCGTTCGCCCAAAAAGGTTTATGGCACAAAGGTCATGTACGATGTCACGCCTCCCCTGAGGTGCACGGGCCCGTCTATCTTCCTCTTCAGCGTGGACGACATCGATCTGGAGCTGACGAAGAGGAAGGTGCACCGCTTCCTGCTCGATGAGGAGCGCTTCGCCCTCCAGGGGCACTCTTGCAAGTACCACGGCCACTTCAAGAGTCAGAGGGCCTCCCGTGCTTCCACTGGGAATGCGTATCCAGTGCCAATGCTAGTGTCCGTGATGCAGCCGATGCTGTCGCAGGCAGTGCGTTCAGGAGCTTTGTCGAAGAAGGGGAAAGTGGTTAAATGTTTAGATGAGTTGATATCCTTGGTCCCTGGTGAGGGCATTGTAGGCGATGCGTTCGATGAGCTAGATGAGCTAGGGCGGCCGACTAAGAAGGCTAAACGGCAGCGCAAGTAGTCATGTGGAGACGTCGTAGCCTGCCAGGGCGTTGCCTAAGTAGGCGTTAGCCGTCGACGTGCGGGCATGATCAATATTGTCCCCGTCGCACGGCCGTGGCTAGAAGCGTTGCGTGGGACAATCTGCGCTGTTTTAACCGTTGCATGTTGGGCCACCGAATGTCACCAGGGTACGTTGTGGATCGCGACCTCCTCCTCGGAGGCGCGCTCGCCATCGATATCATCTAGCTCCGTTAACTTCGTTATATTTCTCCACGTGGTAGCCCCAGAACCCTATTCGATAATCCGCGTTTATCGTTGGGCACCGCGTCGTTGCTGAACGGGGTCGGAACCATCGGTCTCGAACCCTCCTCATCCTCTTCCTCCTCATCATCATCATCCTCTTCCTCCTCCTCCCCCTCCCCCCCTCGTTTTTTTCGAGGGTGGGGGGGCGTGGTCTGGGGCCCTCGGCGCTTGGCGCGTGAGCGGGATCTGTGAGGGATAGTTTCGTTCTGCCCCACTTCCCCGCACCTCCCCCCTGCGCCCCTTCCTTTTCACTTATCCCTTTCACCCTCCTTCCTTTCTCCTTCTCCTTCCGTCCCTCCCCTCACTTCCCTCCCGTCCCTTCTCTTTCCTTTCGCCGCCCCCCTTCGCCTCCCTAGCCGCCCCTTGCACTCCCCCGCCCCAGAGGCCGCCGTGGGCCAATTTTGAGCGGGCCAATTCTGGCACGGCTGAAACATTGCAGCGATCTGCCGCTCGAGGCGTGCTTGCCAGCACGAGAGTGGGTACACTAACCTACCAATGTCTTCAGGGGCGAGCGGCAGCTGCGATGGCAGCATGTCGCATGCGCTGCTGTGCGTGAAATGTGAGGATCCAACCACCGTGAACACCTCGACTGCGAACGGCAGGAATGCGCTCAAGCGCGTGTGCAACGCGTGCGGCGCCACCGACCGATGGCTCAATCGGGAGGCGGACGATGGCAAGGGGACCAAGAAGAGGTCTGCCCCCCTGGACCCCGCCGAGGCCGAGGAGGCTGACAAGCGGGCGAAGGTGGCCAGGACCCTCAAGCAGAAGATCAAGACCATGAGCCCGGAGGAGAGGGCGCAGTGGTACCGCGCGGAGAAGCAGAAGAGGCTCCAGGAGAACAGGGGGAATAAGAGGCAGTTCGGGGAGCCCGTCGGCTTCGCAGAGAACCAGCAGACCAGCGGCACTCTGGACGACGAGGTGGACGTCTTCCAGCCCTTCAGCACGTGGTCTAGCGAGCAGGTCAGGGAGGGCAACGACGGGAGCGAGGACGCGTGGAAGAAAGCGGTGACCAAGCCTGGGGCCAAGACGAGGATGGTTCGCGGCGAGCTCTGCTTGGGGAAGTTCTTGTGCGTGGAGGTGCGCACTCGCCAGGCGCGGGGCAGGGGTAGCCGCAGGGACAGGCGTCGAAAGGGAGGAGGCGGGGGGAGGGCGACGGGGGAGGGCGAGGACGAGGAGGAGGAGGAGAAGGAGGCGTAGGAGGGGGAGGAGTCGGAGGAGGAGGAGGACGATGGCGAGGGGGAGGAGGGGGAGGACGAGGACGAGGAGGAAGACGATGGGGATGGGAGGAAGAGGAGGTGGAGGAGGATGTCCAGGAGGAAGATGAAGAGGGTGGGAGGTGTAGCGACATCGCGACATCGCCCACCCACACGCGCCCGTCGCTCACGCATCCCCCCTCCGCGCGTCGGGAAAAGGAGGAGGAGGATGAGGGGGGCGAGGAGGAGGAGGAGGAGGAGGAGGAGGAGGAGGAGGGGAAGGAGGGGGTGCAGGAGGTGGAGAAGGAGGAGGACTACGAGAAGGACCACGAGGGAACGACAAGGAGGAGGAGGCGAGGAAGGCAAGCGCATGCTTATGTCTGCGGCTACGTCTGCCCCGAAAGGCCTCGATGGTCAACACTGGTGTGCGCCAGAAGCAGGACATCCAATCGGCCTCAGACTTGGAAGAGTTCGAGCGGCATGCGGAGACCATGAGGGATCGCTTCAAGCGCAAGATGAACCGCGAGCACGAGGTGGCGCCGCCAGCAGGGCCCAAGGTTTCATTGTCCCTCGTGGACCACATCATCGAGGGGGAGGACATCTTGACCCCTGGCTCTGTGATCAACGCCAGCGTGCTGAAGGACCTCGAGGCGAAGAAGGAGTTGGAGCGGCAGATGGACCTGGACTTCGAGATGCAGGCGCAGCAGGAGCAGGCGAAGATCAAGCAGCACTCGCAGGAGCCCAAGCCTGAGCCCGAGAAGACCGCCGCCGTGGAGAAGATCAACTTCTCGACCAGTACGAGCAGGGCGGCCCAGACCATGGAGGAAGCGGTGTCGCGCCTCAGGCGCACCGTGCAGTCCGAGTACGACGACGCCAAGGCGGCGCTGAGCAAGCAGAACGACCCCGATGATGATCTCAAGCGCAGCCTGGACACGGCGAAGAGCACGGTCACGGAACAGATCGACCCGCTCGCCACTGCCGTCGCCAGGATCAAGAGGACATTCTTTTGTGGTTTTGAGCGCTTGTTCAGAGCAACGCTCGCGGTTTCATTGCGCCCGTCGGGCTTGGAAATCTCGCCAGGGGGGAGGGTCAGTGAGAGGGGGCGCTGGTTGTTTCTTGTCATTCGCATCGTTTCGGATTATATTTCTTTCGGCGCGTCCTTAGTCCGCTGAGTCGCCGTCGGCTCGCAGCAAAAGCATAGCATAGAACTCTGGCACGCTCTGCGATAGGATCACGCCGTGTGCACGGTGGAAGGCTGTCGCCATCCGCGGCCCCCCCCATCCCGCCCCCCCCCGTGTGCCGGGGGCGCCCGCTGCACGGTTGGCCTTTTGACCCGCCCCATGGGGCTGCGTATCTTCGGGGTTTCGGGGGGCGCCCACGCTCGCATGCAATCGGAAAGTCAAGGGTCCGCTCTCTCGTGGCTCGGGCCTGGCGTGCTTCAGGTAGGGTCGACTGGCCCAGACGCAATGTTTTGGATAGCCGAGAGCCGCTGCTGCTACTGTTGTTGCCGCTGCTGCCCTGCCTGCCCCCGCTTCCCCTGCCCTCCTGACTAGCAACGAAACCTCAGCGAGTGGGCGGCAACCAGTGCGAGCGAGGGCTTCACAGGCCAGCAGTGGAGCGCTGAGATCAAGAAGATCCCTTTGTTCATGAAGTCTTTCAATTCGGATTGGAAGCCGCACTCCGACGCCAAGGATGCCATGAAGAAGTTCCGCAAGACCATCAGCGACACCAGGAAGGCCGTCGGCAACAAGGAGAAGCAGTTGGCGAAGGAGGCGGCCCGCAAGGAGCAGGCCGACGTCGCGCAGATCACCGTCTGCGGGACCTCGCTGGGGGCCTCGCTCATGCAGAATCCGCCCGAAGACGCCAGCAGCTGCAAGAACGTGCGCTGGAGCGTGACCGCCGACCTGCTCACTGCCATGGAACCCTCTGCGGTCGTCTTGCCGCCCGAGAGGTGCAAGTTTCTCGTCGACGAGGTCGTGTCACTCGACTACTACAAGCAGCAGAAGGTATGGGTGGAGCAAGTGATGAAGTCTAGCGCCCTCAAGCAGACCTCAGCCGTCATCGCTAAGTCGACCGTGTTGCGCAAGGTGATGACGTCGATCGAGAAGCTGGAGAGGGCCATTAGCGCCGCCCTGCCCGCGAGCTCGCCGGAGGCCCAGGAGGCGATGGCCCCGCATTTCTACCAGCTGAACGGCCAGTCCCACAGGATGGCGACCATTTCCGACTACGGCCTTGTGGAGTGTAAGTTGTGCCTCGAAGGCAATGAGATGATGTGCGGCATTCCATCCAGCATGGTCCCAGGCGCCACGCACGCTGACAAGCAGCGCATTCTCGGGCAGATGGCGATGCGAGAGTGGCTCAAGATCGTGGAGGAGCATGGTTTCAGCTACCGCATGGCGCCAGGCGTCTGCCTCGTGATCCCCGCCAGGTTCGCCACCTTCACTGTCAATGCAAGTGACGACTCCTCGCACGGCCTCCGTTGGCTGATCCACGGCAACGCCTTCCACGCGAAGGCGGCGGTTCAGTACCTCGACGAGGCGATCGCCCAGAAGCCCGAAATCGCCCAGGGCCGCGTGGGTTTCATCAAGACCTTTTTGGACCAGTGCTTGGACGAGAGCCGTCCAGAGGGCCACCAGGGGCAGGGGGCACCAGTCTCTGGAACGGCCACCCCCGTTGCCCCTGCCCAGCCTGATGGATCGTGATCGTGAGGTCGCCCTAGAGTTCCAGTTCCAGGTAGGTCACTCGCGCGGGCGGGGGCGGGCGGAGAGGGAGGGGGGGAGGACACGCGAATGCAACATCTCGTAAGTTCTTGTGTTTCAGGGTTCGGGGGGGCGGCGCAGTGACCGTTCGCTGGAAGCTGCGTGCCGTCGCCCGTCGAGGTCGCAGCTCAGTTTTACATTCTGGTTGTGGTTCGGTTCCCGCTGATTGGCGCGCGCGCCGGAGAGGCGTGCGCCATTTCGGAGTTGGACCACGCCGTGGGAATGTTAGGGGAATATTTTTTTGGGGCGTTGCTCTGCCCCGCGCTCCATAGAGGGCCGAGTGCGCGGGAGCGAGTGGACGGATGCGATAAACGATCGTCGCTTGTCGTGTTGATCTTTCGGCGCAGCGTTGGAAAAATGCAGGGGGGCCTGCAGGGGAGCGAGTGGCCGATGATAGGGTTGGCAGGTGATCGAGATATCGATGCATCGCCGATGGAGGCGTTGCCATTGCTTGCGTTTTGTCCCATCC